GAGTGGTCCAAAGAGGGATAAACTGATGACAGGCCGTTGGGTCCCCAAGGCTTATCAATGCACGAGGGTAACAAACCAATCAGAGTACCTATGATGACCTCCGTCCACTGTAGAAAGTGCCTACAATGGACATGTGAGTGTCATAACTGGGCCTTGTAGCAGTAGAAGAATGTTGCCTGATCCAATGAGTCCCGTTTTCTTTTACATCACTTCAACAGCCGTGTACGTGTGCATCGTTTACTTGGGGATGTGATGGCACCAGGATGCACTGTGTGACAACAACAAACCGGAAGAGGGAGTGTGATGCTCTGGGCAATGTTCTGCTGGGAAACCCTGGGTCTGGCCATTAATGTGGATGAAAATTTGACACGTGATACCTACAATGGTGTTAACCTGGTGGAAGTGGCCTCTTTCAGCAGGATAATGCACCCTACCAAACTGCACACACTGTTCAGGAATGGTTTGAAAAACATGAGTTCAAGGTGTTGCCCTGGCCTCCAAATTCCCCAGATCTCAATCCAACTGAGCATCTTGGGATGTGCTGGACCAATAATTTCAATCCACAGCAACTCCACGTCGCAACCTACAGCTGGGGCTAACATCTTGGTACCAGATACCACAAGACACCTTCAGGAAGTCCATGTCTCAGCATGATTATACATGACTATTTGCCTCTAAAGAAGAGGACATCATTAAAAAAAATGATTTTGTCTTAACAAACAACATTTGGGCAATGTTACTGGTCTCCAATGTGTCTCTGTGAATCAAAAACACTGATCTCTGCCTCAGTTTCAAGCATAAACCTCGTAGATCATGCACATGGTGGTCAGTTGCACTAAAATGCCACATTTTCTAATAGATTGTATTAGTCTAAATACACAGGTAAACTTACTGGCTGAACTAGCAGATGTACGTCAAATCCTTGAACTAATTTCAGATAAGCACAACAAATATTGTTCTACTGGATGAGATTGAGCAATCACTCCAAACTCCAAAAAGCACATCCTGTAAACCTATTAGATAAACACTAGGAGTAACTATTTCCAGGTTTTTTCCACACATAGACACACACTCCTTTCCCACATACACAAGAAAACTACGAAGAAAACCCACCACACGAGAAGACAGTTTGTGCTGAAACACCTGCTGGGTCTCTGAAAGCAAATGAAGGTTGTAGAAGATTTTAAAAACAAGCCCACAGCAGGTCAAAGTGGAGAAGCTGAATAATTAATTGAAGAGCCAGCCAGGACTCTCTGCTTCTCTAAGAGCTAAAGACAGACTCCCAACACATGATAGCAGAACAAATCCACAAAACCGCCGGAGAAACACTTCGTGGCTGAAAAAGAGAAAAGATTAATAACTCCATTTACTGCATTTCATTTGCATTATCTACACTAACTGCATGCGTTTTACAGGTTTCAATATTTGTTAAGGTTAAAAGGTCAATGCTGAAGATAAGAGGTGTAACTGCTAAGTCTTTTGCTTTTTATCACACACAATGATAGCACTCACCAAGAGTACGTACTTGCCATTCTAGTCCGATCATGAGTGTGTGTGTGTGACTCAAGCCGAATCTGCTATGTTAGGATGTGTGACTATGTATTGATACGGATAGGTTTTTTTCATTATGCACCATAAATCAAGTAAGAATACTGCAAAATTTATTTATGTACATAAATCTATTTATATCTTATGTACGTAGCAGAGGTGGAGCAGCTGTAAGACTATGATGTTGGATCACAAAATAACATTTTCAAAATTCACATAGACAGTTGACTACAAAGTGCGCAGTATGTGCATAATGTATTATATGTAATTTGGTACACAGATTTCACTATAAAAGAAGCTTTAACAGAGATCAACAACATTTGTGCTAGTCTGATTCTAACTGAACCAGCTCTTTATCAAGAGGATAATAGTGCATCAGCTGCATATAGTAGTCGGTGGTTTGTTTCTAAGCTACAGACTATAATTGTTAGGTGTATGCCTAATGAATAAAATTAATGGCACACAATGTTAACCTTCCAGCTACTGACTGCTGTTAATGATTATTTAATTCTTGCAATTGATTGTCGCCTAGAAAGCAGAAACCAATAATGACATCACATTCCACAGAAATGACGCCTAATGAATAAAATTAATGGCACACAATGTTAACCTTCCAGCTACTGACTGCTCTTAATGATTATTTCATTCTTGCAATTGATTGTCGCCTAGAAAGCAGAAACCAATAATGACATCACATTCCACAGAAATGAATGACTCACGACAGTCTTTCTCAGCCGCCCATGGTGTAAACATGGAGTATTCCAGACTCCTTTTATGTATTCATAATGATGTCTGGAAACAACTGACTTTGAGCTGGAATAACTCTTGAATGACAGCAATAAGTCCTCCCTCATTTTAACATCACTTATTTAGTGTCTATCATGTTGCTGGAATGCACTGGATTTACAGAAACCTTTTTTAATAATATTTTTTTTTCCATAAATGAAAAAGTACTTGTGATAGAAGACTTTATTATTTCATATGATTACATAAAATTACATTTGGACTTTTTTTAAATATTACATTTACTTGGAAAGCAAAATAACTTAATTTATTAAGCCTTGTTGTCTGAAAAAAAAAATCATTAAAATGAATTGTTCACGCATAAACGAAAAAAAAATGTCAATGAGAAAAACATACTTGATTCAAAAGGGAAAAAAAGATTAGTTAGTTTTCTTATCCCACTGAAAAATACTTTTCTTGTTTTAAGCAAAAACTCATTTTGATCAATTTGTCAGTAAATAAGATTTGATACCTTAAGTCATTTTGCTTCTCAGGTAAATGTATCTTGTAATAAGATATTTAGATATTTGTATTGAAAAACAAGACAAAAAATATTTTTTGCAGTGTATCTCTCTTCAAAACAAATCTCACTGAGGTGTAATATTGTTGCATGTGAATACAAGGCACTTCAACAGCTGCTCGTCTCTCTTTCCAAACAATGGCGAGATGCTTCTATGCTTTGTAAGCACTCAGTCGTCCTACTGACATACCCTTGTCGTACAGACATATTCATTGTCCAACTGAAAAAGCACTGAGATTGTTTCAGTGATTGAAGCCATTGTTCCAACATGTCTGTGGAAATGGAATCGTCATGGTAACAGCTATGCTCATAAACCCTGAAGAGAACAATACAAGTACCCTTATCATCCCCCTAATGTGCATCTCGATCAGATCGTCCTCTATTTCTCTACCTTAGAATATTGCTCAAAAAACCTGCTAAAATCTGAGAAATTCATCTCAAATTCAGTAGCTATGAATTCAGAAAGACAAAAACTCTGTTCCTGAATAATGATTCAATATCCATCAGGCCTAAGGAGAAAATAAAGCATGAAATAAAGCAGGATCATGATTATCGTTGAAAATGATCAAACTTTTAGGAAAGGTTAAGGAAAGCAATACATTATGTTTCCAGTTTCCAAATGACTGCACGCTGTATTTCATGTGAATATGCAAATGAGCACATTTTATTTCATACATTAACAGTTTATGACCATATCCACTACAAAAGCACTACACAGGATTCAACACAAAAATTAAGAGAAAAAAATGAAATAAAATCTGGAAAACAGACAAAAGTAAGAGTATCACAAGGGAAAACTCCTGTAACCGTTTGTAATACGGTGATGATTTATTCTAACTGCTTTATTACCATAACATTTAATACAGTAGTAATAAAAACAAAAGCTGGTTTGACCCTCCTGCCTAACTAGCCAAACATTGTCACAGAAATGAAGTAAATGTGATTTCCTGAGTATAATGTCTCTCTTGTATTCTGTTTGAAGTAAACACTAGAGTTCGGACAGTTCAGAAACACTTCCTGTTTACAAAGGATCTTTCTTTGTTAGGATGTAGAAGAGAAGATCAGGAAATCAATGGTATAAATGCACTTGCTCTTTATTTTGATTGTGTCATCTATGTCCCCCTTGCTATCTTCGCTGTGAATTTTCTGGGCTCTTGTTATTAATAAATCATTGCTGCTCTCTACTGGAATGATGCTGATATTAAAACAGCAAGATGTCAAAGCTGAAGTATTTTACTTGAAATATAGGCTATCAAAAGCCTTTTTCAGCATTCATAAGGTTTTATGCCAGTAGCTTTACATGCATTTATTTTTAGTTGTTTTAGTATGCAATTAAAAAATAAAAGACTCCCAGTTTAAACAGATTATGCTTATTTAATTCATAGTAGCACTAAACTGTTCTCGGAAATTTAACGCTGATAAGGTTTTTACAAAATAGTTTTTAAAGGATTCCAGTAAGTAGTTATTCTTTGGCAGTGCTAAAATACTAAAAATAAAAACTAATAGTGAAACTAGAAAACTAATTATCTTCTTACATAACTATTTTTAAATGAATCCAGTAAGTAGATTTACTTTGGAAATGTTAAAATAGGATACTACAATTAAAATGAAAAAAAAAAAAAACGACATAAACTAAAACAAGAAAAAGAATTATAGAATAAGAATTAACAAAAACATGCATTTATTTTTAGTTGTTTTAGTATGCAATTAAAAAATAAAAGACTCCCAGTTTAAACAGATTATGCTTATTTAATTCATAGTAGCACTAAACTGTTCTCGGAAATTTAACGCTGATAAGGTTTTTACAAAATAGTTTTTAAAGGATTCCAGTAAGTAGTTATTCTTTGGCAGTGCTAAAATACTAAAAATAAAAACTAATAGTGAAACTAGGAAACTGATTATCTTCTTACATAACTATTTTTAAATGAATCCAGTAAGTAGATTTACTTTGGAAATGTTAAAATAGGCTACTACAATTAAAATGAAAAAAAAAAAAACGACATAAACTAAAACAAGAAAAAGAATTATAGAATAAGAATTAACAAAAACGACACTAAAAAAAGGGCAAATTAAAAATTTATATAGACATAAAAACAAAACAAAACATTCAGAACTATAATATGCATGATGCAGATAATATAAAGGGTGGAGAAGGGGAAAGACAGTTTACAAAGGAGACTGATTTTGTCACAGTTAATCCAACAGAAACCAACTGTTGATTATGATTGAAAGTGATGATAACACATGAATGTGGTTTATGACCTGGTGGCTTGATTCATCTCTAGGACTCTGGTTGGGCAGATTCCTCAAAGGTTTTCACATCTGTTACCTTATCTCCACTGGTTATTTCACCTGCTTGTTGATTCCAGAGAGAGTTTCTTGGCATCACCAGATCTCAAATCATGGGTCTGTGCTAAAGAGCTCTTTGAATTCAATTCTGTTGTTGAAGAGCCTACAGAGATACAAACACACACTGATATTAGCTACAACCCGCCACTTGTATTCCTCATTTGCAAGTCGCTTTATATAAAAGCATCTGCTAAATGAATACATAAATACATGTAAATGAAACAAACAGTAAACATCATCGCCATTAATGATTTTCACTCTGTTGCACATGACAATATGAACTATCAGTCAAAAGTTTGGACACACTTGACTGAATTTTTTGTGATCAACAAAATGCTCTTTACTCAAACATAAAGCACTTTAAGCAAGATTTCACCATTTAAACAACAGTTCAAATAACATCAGACAACATTGTGACACTCAGACACAAACCTTACTGTCTTTATGTTACTGTTGCGAGTGACGATATTGTAGATTTTCTGAGCCCCAAAGTCCGTGATGCTATTGCCACTAAAACTGAGATCAAACAGAATTGTAACAACGATTGCATTATACTTCAGAAATGTACACTTTGTGTATCTTTCTCAGTCACTCACTCAATGTTTTGTGCTTTGTGGAGGTTTGGGAGCAGCAGATCCAGGCTGTCATCGGTGAGACGGCACTGACTCAGATCCAGTTCTGTCAGTCCTTCAGAATATTCCAGAATCAGCACCAGACCTCTACAGACCTGCAGGTTCAGCTGAGTCTGACTGAGGTCGAGCTCTTCACCCAGAGCTTGAGAAAGAGACTCGGCTTCCTCAGGCCTCACATGAGCCAGAAACTGAAGCAGCAGAGATTTATCACAGCTGAAAGACAGAGCAGTAGATGTTTTCTATATATTTGAATGCATTTATATTTCAGTCAGTTTGTGTATATCTTCATGTTTCTCACCAGAGTTTAACAGAATGTAACACTGGGAACAGCTGATCCATTCCAGCTGTATTAATCTCACAGTCCCGCAGAATTAGCTGGGTCTTTGTGTCTGAATGAGCGCTCTGAATGACTCTGGACGTCACACGGCAGTCCTCAATGGTCAGATGTAGAGGCTCTGAGTCTGTGTTTGCTGTCAGATCCAGAGCAGAACAGCAGGAGAAATCCAGCTTGTGCTGCAGGACAGAGAGCAGAACTGCTGCTGCCTCCTGCTGGACATCAGAGACACTGCAGCAGTGCAGCATCCTCAGTAACAGCAGCCTGTCAACACTGAACACAGACAAACACTAGATCAGAACAGATTTTGGTCATATCAATACCATCTGAGATTCAAACCATCTTAAATAAACTTTTTTTTAATTATAGCTTAGTGTAAGTGTTTTGCTCAAGGTTACTAAGGTAATAGTTAGCGGCCTTTATAAGTACGGATGAGAATCTTAAAAGAATTCAATTATTCTGATCCCTAATTCTGAGTTCTTTAACGTTTCCATTAAAGGATTTCTGTGTTTACACACAGTCTTAAAGGTTTCAGTCATTCTATAGGAAATACCATAAATACAATCCAATAACTGAAATACATGTTAAATAGTAGTAAAATGAAACCTAAAAGCTATTGAATATAATAAAAACATGCAGACTTGAGACCAAAGAAACAGGAAAGAGAGAGAGGTTGATATGAATTGGAAGGCTGCATAGTAAAGCTGCATATATCTAGGCTGCAACATCCTCAAGCACAGCAAAAGGCAGTCTCATTTTGAAGTATCCTTGAAAAGCAGCCTTTATTTTGAAAATAAATCAGTACTTCACTTGTCCAAAAAAAAAAAAAAAAAAACAGGAGAAAAAGGCAGTATGGTTTCTTTTTTGTTTTAAATTAATCACATAACTGCCCGTCTCCACTGGGAGACCACAGGTGGTTGTCATTCACTGTATTGCACTGATAGAAAGTTAGATAATCAAAAGGCTTTCAATATAAAGTATTTTTCCAAAACTGATTTTTAGTGCTGGGCGGCATACCGGTTCATACCGAATACTGGTGTTTATTTTTGTTATGATATGAATTTTTAAAATACCACAATACCGGTGTATGTCAT